CACAGATACGGAGGGAAGCGGGCAGAAACAGGGGCAGAAAACCGGGCAGGAAATCTGGCAGGAAAGCGGGGAGGGAGGTGGAGGAATCGAATCATCAGAGGCATTTTCGAAGCTTCTTCCCGAATATGTACCAGGACAGAGAGACACGAATGGGCCTGCGAGTATACTCTCCTGGCAGACAGACCCGGCAGCCATGACAAGTGTTTTTCCCGCCTGCCAGGAACAGCAGATGCAGCAGAGCGAGGATGCACAAGGGACAGGGCGGTGTGAGGGGACTCAGGAGACTCAAGAGACGCATGGAGAAGAGAGAGCGGACGCTCAGGCTGCTGCTGGGGAAGCGTCTGAGAAGCAGCAGAACCAGGTCCAGCAACATGAGCAGCAGGCGAGACCGATGCTACGCCGCCTGCAGCGGTCAAACGCTGCCGAGATTGAGCCTCTGGAGGACCTGATTTCCCCACAGAACCCTTCAAGCCAGCGCCTGCAGCAGCCGCATCAACAAATCCAGCAGGAGCAACAGCAGCCCACAATCTCTCCTGCTCTGACCCCAGGCCTTGAAACCCCACCCGCAGCAACCATTCCCCTCCCTGACCCGTTTCTGGCTGTGCCGCAGCTGCCAACCCCGTCCTCCACACTGACGACTCCTGGCATGCCTCGGGATCTTCTCGGACTTGAAACTCTAATGACGCCTATGGACCTCACTGCTACTGGCTGGTGGACTGCTTCGGATGCTGCTGCTGCGGCTGCCGTTGCTGTTGCTCCTGCCAGCGCTGCTGCTGCCGCTGGTGGTGCTGCCGCCGGTGCTGCTTTTGCTGCTGGTGATATCGCTGTTGCTGCTGGTAATGCTGTGGCTGGGGTTGCTGATACAAGTTCTGCTGCTGGTAACCCCTCACCTTTTTCCGCCATGGGCCCTGGTGTTGGAGGTGGTAATTTCGGAATTGGTAACCTTGGGGGATACAGTGTTTTTTCAGCGTTTGGCAATGGCAGCGGGCACTTGTCTTTTTTCGACAGCCCGTTCAGGTTCGGCACTCCCGCTCCCACAGGGGCTGATGGTGGGACTGCCAACCCCTGGACGGCTGCCGTTGTGGCTGCTGCTGCGGGTGATGCTGCTGCTGCTGGTAATCCTGGTGGTGCCGCTGCTGCCGCTGCTGCCGCTGCTGCTGCTGCTGGTGCTGCTGGTGCTTGTGCTAATGCTGGTGTCGGTGCTGGTGCTACTGGTGCCATTGGCCCTGCTTCGCAGGCTGATTCGAGAGGCCGGTTTCGAGAGAGCGAGTGCGTCGCGCAGGCCAGTGGCAGCGGCAGTGAGAGTGGCAGTGAGCTGAGTTCCCCGTGCACTAACACCACTCACACCCTCCCCTCTGCCTCTGCAAGCGATGGTGAATTCGTAGGGGAAGTGGCCGGCCCTGCTGCTGCTCCTGCTGCTCAGTCATTTGCTCCTGCAGAGGCAGGCCGTGGAGATGTAGTGGCAGTCCGTTTTTCCGCTGGCAATGGTGCTGCTGTGGTAGACCTTGCAGCAGCCCAGCTCCCACATCAGCAGAGCCTGCTACAGCAGCAGCAACAGGGGCAGCAGCAGCAGCAGCATCATCTAACCGCTACTGCTGCAGCAGCGATTGCATCAGACCGTTTTTCCATGCTCTCCTCTCCTCTTTTACCGCCCGAGATGATGTCAGAGCTCACCGAGCTGCTTCTACGCTCAGCAGTTGCCCAGCCTAGTGACTCAGGCTCGGGCCCAGCAGGGTCGGAAGCAGGCTCGGTGCAAGTGTGCAGTGAAGGGAAGGATGGTGGTGCAGGACAAATCAGTAGGCAGTTTCAGCCACCATTATGGTCGACCAAGGCACACCAGCAGCAGCAGCAGCAGCAGCGCCAGCAGGAGCAAGGGCAGGAGAAGCATGGAGGACAAGGAGGGAAGCAGGTTCGGTCTCCCAAGCGAAGTCGAGGGGAGGGGGAGTTTGAGGGGCTGATAATGATGGAAGCAGGTGCTGCTGCTGATGGGAGTTCCATGGAGGCAAGCCATTTGTCAATGGAGGGTGTGGTGGTTCGGCCCTTGTCCAAGCGAAGGAGCTTTGTTGCGGAGGAGATTGAGGATGGTTCGGGTGGTTTGAGTGCAGTGAAGGAGATTGCGGTGGGAGAGGAGGGAAATGTTGGGGAGAACTCGCAGCCTGATATTCTCAACATGCTGAAACAGATCTTGGGGTGAAGGGTACATATGTGCCGATGTTTCTGTGACCAAGTCCAGTACTAGGTGCTTGTTTCATCTTGTGTGCATATTCCTTAGTTTTCCTTGCGTTCACCTCTTTTTTTGACCCCCTGTTTCTGGTTCAACTAGCTAAAGATCACATTTATGAAAGCCCTTTGTATTCCCGTAGTACTTATGAGCTAAACTTCAAACTCCCTACCTAAACTCTCTGGTTGATTTGCAATTGTCTAAGAATGTTAGTTGGAGAAAGAATTTGTTCTTGTAATGCGAGGTTCGGAGCCATCGAACCTGAACAAACTAAATCCGTTTTGGGAAATGATCAAAGAGTGGCCGTACAGTGCTAGAGCGGTGATCGACCAGCGGCCGAGAGGCCCGAAACTGACCAAACCGCTGCGCGAGGGGGAATTAACAGAGAGGTTCGTCATGGCTTGCATTTTCGCTCACACCTCAATATTCCTAGGATATCGTAAATGAAACATTTCTTTCATCCGGTAGCGTCGTTTAGCGAGCCAGGTAGCGCTACCGGCGGTACCGACGCTACCGGGAAATGTTAGGGCAGCCAAGAAAAAACTAAAACCAATAGGCAGCCTGAACGCGTTTTCGGGATGGATCAACCCTAAACACGGAACCCGCCTGGTGTTTAGTGTTGATGCCTCCCGAGTCGCATCCATTTCCGAACGGGTTTTATTATTAATGTCAGCTAAAGTGATTTATGATTTTTAGAAAAAACGTAAACATGACGAAACCTACTTGAAGAGGAATGCGACGCAAGCTTCGTATTAGGCGGCGATCATAACCATGAAAACACCATCCGTTTTTCCCAGCATTCGACAAACGTAGCCACCTTACTTGCCGCGTCGCTATAGCGCGCATGTCGTCGTGGTGTAATGGCTCACCTCACCCCCCATCTCTCCAGACCTCGCTGGTTCGGAAGTGATGTGGGTTAGGCAGAATACTTACTTGAACTTCGCTTTTAAGAAAAATCTTGTGGTGCTGGCTCTCTTTAATTGCACGCCTCACCACCACCAGCAAAGCCAGGCCAGCTACCTTTTCGTTACCTTCCAGCCAGTGGAAGCACAGTGCACTCCTTCGCCCGCACCGCCTTTCCAACCTTCCCTCCCACCTCCTCGATGTTCTCGTGCTTTCTCGTTCACAACCCGAACCCACACCTAGTCATTACCTAGGCCCTGTTCGACAGCGAGGGTACCCCGCCAGAAACGCTTTGAGGTGACCTCGTTGGTTGGGCGGGAAACGGTTTGCGACCCCCTGCGACGACTCATAATTCCCGCCAGCGCGAACGACCCCCCTGCGATGTCCTTGGTTTCCCGCCCAGCTGCTAAAACATGGCGGGAATTTTAACGGGGTGGTTTGACACCACAGCGCGCAGTAACAGTGACTTTCGCCTAATCATTACAGCCCATCACTGGTAAAATTTCAGACCATTACCAGACCATTGCCAATGTTACTTTTCAAATAAGTGGCCCCAATGCCAGACCAATGGGCTATTTAGGGATAGTCGCGCCAAACAAAAGGTATAAACCAGTTGCACCACAAATCCTTTCGACACACCTAACTAATGCTGGAACCGATCTGGAATACTCTATACATTTTCAGCACAAACATTTGGGTGAGGCTTTTGTTTTTACGTAGACCGTCGAACCCCCGGGCAGACCCCGCGGCTGGAAACAGTCCGCTTCAAAGGGCCGTTGAGGTGGAGCTTTTCGACCACCTCGGCCGTCTTCGGGTCGGCCAAAATGATTACACTGCCGGCGCTGTCCCACCACTTGCATTTTGTCGCGACGCTGAACCATTTGGGCGACAGAGCCAAACCAAATGGTTGCATCGTGGGGGCCCCAAAGTGCTATCGAACAGGGCCCTAATCTCGGCTTGTAACCACATTTCCCTCATCGTCTAAGCAGGGCCTCCGTTTTCATGGTGCAGCGATGATTCTAGTAGTAATGTCACCTATAGAAGCCCATTCGATGCCGCGTTGAGGTCTCCTTGGTCCTGTTTTGTTTGCTCCCGTCGTCCTCCTTGTTACCTCGTCGCTCTTTCAGCTGCGATTTTTCTTTCTGCCATGTCAGACCCACATCGCGCGTCGATTTTCGCAGCAGTACCAATTGCTACAGCATCCGAAGCGACAGCCGATACAGCCGCACCGACGGCGACGGCAGTCGAGCCAACTTATCTTTTGGCTCGCATCAGTTCGCGAGATGAAGCATCGTTATTGTCTGCTCC